ATGTGACAGATGTGAGACCTGGGAGTTCAAAGACTACACTGAAAATGTGCTAGGTAAGCATGGGCTTAGGTGACAATAAATGTTAAGTGGATTTCCTGGAAAATCACGAAGGAGAGGTTAATGCAAATACCCAACCTTTTAAAACTACGCCCTGAGGGTAATTGTCTGCTGATTACCTGTGTGAGAAGACCAATATCAAAAGATCACACTGCATAAAGAAATAACTGATCTGCACAATCTTTGTTCTGGTTGAGAATCTAAGACCAATGGACTCATAACAATGGAGAAAGCCCAGTTGTAGGTTTTAAAGCACTAAAACCTACCCGGGTACGTCTACACTAGCCCCTAGTTCAAACTAGCGAGGCTAGTGTAGGCATTCGAACTTGCAAATGAAGCCCGGGATTAAGTCCACACTAACTGCCCGCGACTACACGTGGCAGTTAAACGGTAATTTGAACTAAGTCCTTAGTTTGAATTACTTGTTACTTCTCCTGGAATGAGGTGTAACAGGTAATTAGAACTAAGGACTTAGTTTGAATTCCCTTTAACTGCCGCGTGTAGCCGCAGGCAGTTAGTCCGGACTAGTGGCATTTAAAAATGGCGGCTGGATGGGAACATGCAAATAAAGCCCAGGATATTTAAATCCTGGGCTTCATTTGCAAGTTTGAATGCCTACATTAGCCTCTCTAGTTCGAACTAGGGGGCTAGTGTAAACATACCCCCAGAGTGCTAGGTTGGAGTGGGGAGGCCTCCAGTAGATTTTTCTTTGTATGTTTAGGTTCTTTTGTTGTTCTAAATGCTTTCTCTGCAATGCTTTTAAGAATAAATATGCTTTCTTAGAAAGAACTGTGTGGTAAGTTATAACTGGAGCGAATACTCTGGTCACAGCCTTTGAGAGAAAACAACCACAGGCTTTGGTCTTTTAAGAAATTCAAACTTGCTGGGGATATCAATGTGTAAATCAGGGGGCTGCAGCTGCGTAGCCTTAAAATCTCTGGTCAGGAAGAAAGATGTAGGTCTCTGCCCAGGAGATATAATGGTTCAAAGCCAAAAGCCTAAAGTGGATATCCTTTGGTAGACCACAAAGGAGGAATGCTCGTATAATTACCTGAAATTGTAATAGCCCTTATCAGTTCTATTGGAAGGCTGTTCCAAGACCTCACTTCTCTGGCTAGAAACCTTCTTCTAATTTACACTTACATTTATTCATGGCCAGCGTGACATTGCATCTCCATATTCTTTATGGAAATAAGTTTTTTAATATGAATATTCCTAACTTAAATATGCTCTCTGCAAAATGTGGCATGTAACCCTGTCATTGAAAAGCTTGTCATCGACTGAATGTGCACATCCTATTTGTGTGCATGTATAATTTCTATATTTGCAGTTAGAAATACGAAGTATAAATTTATTTATGTGTCTAGATGTGTTAATGAAGGCCATTAACAGTACTCAGGGATCTTAAGGGCCTGGTACTCATGAAAATGATCTGTGAATAGTCTTGCTTTTCCTGTAAACCTGGACTGTGGAGACATGGATGCCTGCCAAGACATGGATGGTCACCTAATGCTGGAACCCATTTTGGATGTGGGATTTTTTCATGGGGGTATGAAATGATTGGAACAGAACAAAAAGTAGTCCCACCTTGAGCAAAATTTATGTATATGCAGGAAACCAAACAATAGGGAGAGTTGTTGGACACTAAGACACCCCCTGCTTAGCATCTAGATGATGTATGGAAACATTTAAGACTTAAGATGTAGAAGGATCATGCTCAAGTTAGGAGGCTGCCTAGGTTATGAGAAAAGAAGATTAAAACTAGTGTCAGGGAAAGAAACTGAATGCAATAAATTTGTTAGAGTATTAAGGTTAGCTGCAGTGTTTTATTTTAGTTTAGTTTAGTAACTTGGATCTGTCTGTTATCACTTAAATCCATTTAAATTCTACTTTTTACATTTAGTAAAATCACTTTTATTTATTATAAAACGCAGTGTAAATAATTGTAACTTGGGGTAACAGCTGTGCATATCTGTCTTTCATGGATTAAGGGAGCAAACAATTTATGAGCTTCCTCTATATAAACATTTTATGCAGAGCAAGATGGATTCTTCTGTGGTACTGGTCCCACTGGGGTTGTGCACTCAGGATGTGGTGGGTGTGTCAGTGGAGTCCCTGTAACTAAGCTATCACAGAGCTGAGCTGTTCTCAGCATGTGTGTTACTTTGCTAGCAGGCTGTGATCCCAACTCTGTGCCTTTGCTGGGGGATACCAGAGCTTCTGGCTCAGCAGGACTGGGTGGGTGGTGCCACAGAAGGCAGGCAGGCAGGCTCAGTGGTAGGATCAGCCCACCAGGTGACAGTCTCAAGGAGATCTCTGTGATCAAACTCATTACAGCCAATTTATACCCATTTGATCTCATGCCAAATGTGTCCTTTAGCTTAAACAGCTCTTCTCCTTCCCTGGTATTTACCCTCCTGTTGTGTTTATAGTGAGTAATCATCTCTGTCCTCAGCCTTTGCTTTGCTAAGCTAATTCTTACAGTCTCCCCTGTATTCCCCTGGTAATCCTAGTAGCCCTTCTCTGCAGTAGTTCCAGTTTGAATTCATCTTTCTGATTTCACCACATTAAATACCTGAGTTTCTTGGTTGTTGTTAAGTTTCTATTTCTACACACTCATTCCCGTTAGCCATCCGACATTTTCCTCCATGTTTTACATTATCCTCTTTATTGAAAATGAAAGCAAAATATTCATTTAGTTTTTGGGCCAAACAAAGCTTATCTTTAATCTTAATCCCAGCTTCCCAGCAACCAGCTTCCTGCCTTAAAAGATTGCCCCAAAATATCTACAAATGTACTGAAGATTTTTATTGATTTATTTTCAGAACAGGAAACTGAGGTTTTAAATAAAAATATTGCAAATTATCTGCTTTCCTCTAAAATTTTTTACTTTCCGTCACTGAACCAAAAATTTGTGGCTAAAAATGAAAATAAACGTTTTCCACAGAAAATTAAAAATTCTGACCAGCACTAATACTGTATATAATTCTGCTTATCGCTTAGCAAAAGACCACTTTCATTTTGCAAACAATTATAGCAAGTTCACTGAGTGCTGGCTTTAAGTCAAGTTTCACTGAATGCTGGGTAATTTACATTCAGTAAAAGAAATATATCATCACAAGATGTGATTATTTCAAAAATTCATTAGGAGTGCACATTTTTAGGTGATAAAAAAGGATGTTATGTGAGGCAATATTTTAGCTGATGTTGTATTCAGTTCTTGACCTTTTTCTAATTTATTCTCCACAATGACTGATTTGTTAATAAGGAAACCATATAGCTAACCAAAAAACTGAATATTTCTTCAGTGGAAAAAAAGTTTTCAAGGTTTTTTTCATGCTGACTCAGGTCTAAAAGCCAAAAAATTGCAATTTTTCACAGAACTGAAAGTCAGTATAGCTCATTTGAGGAACAGCAGCAGGAAAATTCTAGTAAACCAGTTTTATTAACAGGAATGACAGATTATCTATTTAAAATGTTTGGAGAGTGAAACTTCTGTCAATGTGGACATCGTGGGATCCTTTGAAACTCTGGTATAGTTTTCTTCAACAGAATTTATACTGTCTTATAAAATGTAGTGCCAGAATCACCAGTGATGCAAAGAAGCCATAAACCTGGTACATCTGATCTATCTAATATATTGTTTGTTTTTTTTTACAAGAACTAGGTAAATACCACAAACATTTGTTCAAATATAAAATGTAAATTACTTTTGATAGTACTTGCAACCTCTCTCACTCTTTTTTTTTCAAACACTTGCACAACACAAGTAGATTTTTGTCAGGTATCATGTTAAAGGAATAAGAATATTTTGAAGTATTTGTACTAGAAATGTTTGGTAGCCATCATGAAAGCTTTTTGTGTCATCCAATCAGAAATCAAACAATGCTATGCAACTTGCTTAACCAAACAGTATAGATACTCAAAAAGATATACTCACTGTTTATAGTCCCAAACTACAGGCTGATATGTAATCATATAATTAATTAGTAAATAATAAATTCATGAAAATTTAGATCTGATTGTGAATAAATCACAAGTAGAAGAGGAGCTATGTTCACCCGATAAATTGTTCTCTGTGAATAACTCACTACATGTCATTTTTAAGATAGCTTTTTTTCCCAACATACTGGTATGTAGATAGCTTCACATCATACAGTGCTGCAGCATTTGACATTTCCCTGTGATATATTTATTATTTATATATAGGTGCACACAGAACTTGTGCTTACAACAATCTGTCTTCATGTCTGTCATCCTCTCAAATGAATTTTTGTCCTAGAAATTCCTTGGAGTTCATTACTGTTAGGGGGTCCTGTTCATTGAAACTCATTATTGTTCTAATCAATTACACACAAGAGCTGTAAGTGATCGCATTATAATAGTCAGACCCAGCCATTCAATGAAAATTTAATTACACAGCACAGAGACATGACAAAAAATTCATGTCTATGTTCAGGAATGCAACTTCCCCAATAGCAGTTGGTTACTGAATGTTTTCATGCTACTATATCTTCTCTTAATCACACCCATTTTTTTAAAATGAAGCTGCAACTGATATATACAACGGTTTTAACGGCTCCTTGCCTCATCCCTAATTCTGGAATTTTAAAGTTCTTTTGTTAGCTCTTTGTGATACCAGACACCCTAAATGATATGTCCATTTCCTAAAAGCACTCAACAGCTAACAAAAACAGTCTGATTCCAAGGCTGGTATAAAATCAGCGCACCCCAGTTGACTTCAATGGGGCTGTACCAATTTACACCAACTGAGGATCTGGTCCTGTTATGTGATTACCTTATGACTCCAGGAGATATGCAGGAACCCCTACTGACCATATTGTGAAAAATCTGGCGCAAATACCTTCTCTTAGGTGTACTGTGCTGCTGTAAACAGCCTGTATATCAACAGCTCAATGTAAATAATTAATAGGCTGCTTTTATTATCATACAATAAAACCTCTCTTGGGAATCACTCCCCAATACAGATGAGCACATAATGGTTAGTGGGTGACTCCTCAGCTTCCTCCAGCGGGTTCTGTCCCTTGTTGCCCCAACTCCATTTTGAACCATTGAACCAAGGGTCTGAGCACTTGCTTCCGTGGCTCATCCTCTCAATAGCTGGCACTGCTGCAGTGGAGGGGAGAAGAGGAGGGTAACTACCAATACCATGCAGAGACACTTGTAAAGTTTCTCCTCCTAGGGGAAGTACTTCCCCACGCGGAATTTCCTAAATAAGAGAATTGGAATATCTCACCACCACCGTGATCCTGACACTGAAAGCCAGGCTCACAGTATGACCCAAAAAACCAACAAGTTACTGCTTATATAATACCGAAAATAAATAAATAGATACCTCTGCTATCTAATTGAGAGAGTTTGTCCATCCATCTGTCTATTTGTTCAAGAACTCCTCCTAAATGATAAGAGCTAGGACCACCAAATCCAGTAGGCAGCTTCCTCTTATCGTAACTTAAAGCAAGGGAAGAGTTTGGCTGAGCCAGGAAAATGGGTTGTGCCTGGAATGGGATTGCTTCTCATAACACCAAACCGAAAAGAGACAGAATCACCAAGCAGGTGAAAAGGGCTGGTTGGGGGCATTCCCTGCCATTTGGAACAACCCCATCCCCAAACCTTCCACCCCACAGGTGTCCTTTAGGGAGAGGGGCTGAAGCTTTCCTCCCCACTCCGCAATTCATACAGGGACATTGCTGACTGCTTCCCTTCTTCAGGGAGCAAGGGGAAAGTGCAGTTTCCTGCATTCCTCACTCTGGCTGGGGAGTGCAGAGCTCAGATGAACCTGGACCTGTCTCAACTAGGGGACATGAACTCCTCCCCCAACTGTGCCTGCTGAAGCTGCAGCAGCTATGGACAGGCGTGTCTCACCTGTTCCACTAGGGTAGTCCTCTCTCCCCAGGGCAGCCTTCATACTGAACACCCAATCCCCAGACCCACCCCAGAGAGATGATTTAAATGCAGAAAAACAAAAATGAATTGAGTTAAGGACCCAGACAATGCCAGGTAAATCTTCTAGTAAAGAAATAAATAATAAAGTTATTCATCTTTGTCAACAGTCAAGATAATTATTAATGGCCACCTTGTGTACAGTCACTTTCCAGATCATTGCTTTCTTCTCTCTCTCTCTCTCTCTCTTTATTGCCTGTGCTACAGAATAAAGGTTTTAAGGAGTTGTCTTGAAGTTCTCTAGCTATTTTTAAAGGCCCTTTATGGAAATACGTTAATGATGAAAATGTAGATATTTAAAGATAATTATTGAATATTTACTGGCTCTTCTTGAACATTTGTAGTGTATCTTCTCTTTAATTGGTTTTGACAGATATGGAACAATTTTATTTTGCACATGAATTGCTTATGGCACAAGCAAAAACTATTTTGGGGACAGGAGGAAGGAATTGGTAATATTACTGTGGCCAAAGTGTTTTCTTATTCCTTTCAATAAATCATCAAATAAACCAATATTCACTCATTTCGTTTTATTTTCTTAAAGACCTTTCCCAGAGCTTGAATTGTGGCTAAAGTTATATGCCTATGCTAATTTAAAGTAAATGATATAATGTACTGCTGGCACATGCCTGCTCTTCCAGTCTAATGAAATATGGTGGCTAAAGCAATATACATTGCACGAGGTGCACGGTGGAGTGTGTGTTTGATATTAGTAGGGAGACATTACTAAAATAGAATAGGAAATACTGCCGGTATGCTATCTTCAGTGCTTTTGAAGCTTATTCTCTTCATATATAGATATACATGCTTCACATATAAAAGCTTTTGAAGTGTATTCTATTCACTTACACATACACACACACAGGCTCTTTTTTGAGCACTTGATTAAATAGGCATTTGACAAAATACAAGTGGATTTGTAACAGAAGTATTTCCCAGTAACGTATTAATTATGTTCAGGATTGAATCACATACATTTAATGCTACATTTGTCAATAGTGGACTGATCTGCAAAGACAAATGTACTGACTTACAATGATCGACACAAAAAATGTGCATATCAGAAAGTATTTATAATGGTGACTGACAAAATAGGCAGCATGTGGAAATAGGGAAGGTGTTACCAATGTGCTTTATCATCAGATCCCCATGGAAAGGATTTCAATAAGCTGCATTAGAGTAGCTGAAAGGTTCTGTCTGACTCTTGATTCTACCTGATGCGTAATTATAAATAGGGTGTTGTGTTACTCTAAATAGCATGGTTAAATAAAGACCTAGTTTTACAAATTAGCTTCCTGTACTTGCTGGCTGTCAGTGCTGTGAAAAGAACCTCTTTAGCCTCTAAATAGCAAAACCCACAGCAGCGCTAACTCAGATAAGAGCTACTTGATAACAAGAGCAGGGGAAACCAAGGAAGTTTGCTTCAGTTTTACTGTTGCCATTTACTAAACCTGAATCTGAATGTGTCCAGAAGGAAGGTAACTCCCCCTCCCCATTCAAGAAAAAAAAATCAAAATATTGATACTAGAGGTTCCAGCAGGACAACACCATCCTCTTCAAGGACAGGTGTGCTAAATTGTGGGTAAGCCATCAACAGAGATTACAGGGACAGAGGCGCAAACACTTTAGGGCACCAGAGAGCAGCAGGAAATTAATCACCAGGAATGGACAGTCCACCATGAGGTACAGAAGAAGATAGATGTCTGTGCAGAGGCTGGAGAGGGGAGCTGCAACTAGGGGGCTGTAGGAAAGAAGACTACCAAAAGACAGTTTTTCAAGGGGAGGTGTTGGTGCTCCAGTCAGTCAAGCAGATGGCTCAACATGGGACATGGGAACTGAACTGATAAACCATCACCTCACAGCTGAGTATACAGTGCAGGAGTACACAGTGGATGTGCGTGTGTGGCAGTGTATGCATGCCATAGGGTATCCCTACCCTTCGAGCTGGCAGTGTAATTTCCAGGTCAGGTAGCAGTACACATCTTTGCCATCCACATCCTTACCTCTCTTTATTACATAAAAGTCACTTAAATGCTTCTGCCTGTGTTTTGTTGGGCTGTCCATCTTTCTACCCTCAGAGGGTGGGATTAGCCTGCAAGTAACTTCTGTAGCACTCACTTGACATGACCATCTAAAATCTTAGACAGCCCGTAATGTGCCTTAACTATTGTTAGGTTCCTTCCCATGCTATTAAAAAAACCCTCTGTACAGCACCTAACCACATAGATATCCCCACAATGCCCAAACAAACACGCAACACCTTCCCAAGGGGCACAGGTACCTAACGCCTTTTTGTAAAACCCATGGGCACATAAACACCCTTTTTCAGGTTGGTTAGGCATGAAACTCCATGTTTCACGGAGCTTTGATGCTTTGACAGCATACGTGAGGTACAGAATTAAGGTCCAATCTTATGAAGTGCTGGGTGTGCTCAACACACAGGAAAGTCATGAAACTACAGCCTGTGCCATATTTCTGTATCAGACAGTACCACAAAATGAAGATTGATAAGGGATGGGGCACTTTCTGCATGACAAAAAAACCCCTTCTTATATCAATCTATATAGCAAGCTATCCAATCATGTTACTTGAAGGAAAACAAAGGGACCTGGACATTTAACATGTTATTTTCCACCTATGAGGGAGTTCTAAGCTTGGATTATTTTAACATCATAACATATTGTAACCTGGTTAGGCTCCAGAATAGAGTATTTTAGTAAGTGAACCACTTCACTTTATCTATTACAGCAATTAATTATCCTTTTAACAAAACTGATTGTAGCAAGAACACATTTTTTTTCCTGAAGGAAAAAAGAAACTACAAAATTTTAACCAATTAAAATCAAGTAGCTAATAAAACTCAGTAGCCATTAACATGCAAAATGTTTTGTTCCTTTAATATGATTTGCTCTAACTAAAAGCAACACTGAGAAAATAAGCTCTTCAGCAAATGTGGCAGATGAACTGGAGGGAGGAGGAATAAAAAAGGAAAAAAAGGGGTGAATAAAAACATTTTTAAGTGTAGATTTGATACAGCAGTGGTAATTTAAATTAGTTTTAAGTACATTGGGCAATAAATGGCCTCATAAATGTGCAAGGTAAACTCTGAGGGTACAGAAGAGAACCATTTATTGCCCTGTGCAAACTAAAATTATCTCCTAAATAATAGATTTTCTAGTTGGGCTGAATTATTGTGCAACAGAGGGACAGTAACTTCCACTGAATCTCTCCCTGGGTTAACAGTAAAATGAACGATATGAATTAGATCAAGGTAATGTTAGATGTCACCAGTTTTAGCTAATTCAACCTTAGAAACTTTTCCCAGGAAAAGTAAGTCAAGCTAAGATCGGATCTTGAGTTCATGCTTTTAATAAGCTGTTCAGTCTGTACAGGAAAGAATTTGCTTGAAGCTCTGCATAATACCATATCTGTATATTTTCTTTGCTTACTATCATGTTAGCCATTTGTGCCATAACAAAATACTAAAACAATAGATGATGGAGATGAGTGATGTTGAAACAGCCAAGAGGCACAAAGGTTCAGTTCAAATGACTACTACCAAGATACATTTTAATTAAAGTTGAAGTAAATATATTTCATGACCAGTGTTCCCTATAAGCTGTGCATGTGTGTGGCCTCTCAGGAGAGATTCCAATGATGTCCAGTTGATTAGCAGAGCGCTCACAGCTAGGTGGTACATATTTGCACATGCCTCCTTGAACATAATTAAATTTATTCCACACATGGATGGAAAAATTTAGAGGGAACATTGCTCATGAGTCTACCACTTTAGGTTGAACATTTCATCAGAACATGTTTTCTCAAGAGATTTTTACCATTTCCTGCTTGTATCAGACTGGAAACACAGCATGAAGTCTCTAGGGTGATATACATTATGTGTATATATTAGGTAGATTTGCGAATGAGTGCCTATGTTTAAGGTTGGCCACACATAAATACATCTAATTTTATGAACCTCCAACCAAATTCAGTTCAAGTTTTGAGAGAAGGTTTGGGCCAGTTTTTATCTTATTTAAGCCATCTTGCCCATCATTACTGATGCTGGACTACTAGCCATTAAAAACTGTTAGATACCTGTATCTGCAGGTATTGCCACTATTTGCAGGTAAAGGTTTCTCTCTCTGTTACTGTATACTGGACTCTTT